TAAGTGTTTAGGTAAACGGCCCTTTAATCTCTTAAATATTAAGTTGACGATTTATTACTATATACGTTTGACTTCTTAAAACTTGGCTTTTGAGTTTTATAAAACTAAATGTAAATCTCTTCAGGAGAATACTGTTTTTGGTGAATTACTGACGCGTAAGTAACAAGCATTAGAAGAGTTGTTGCAAATTTTGTTCTAACGTACAATCATTCTTAAAAAAAAAACTCTGTATTTTGTTGAAAGAAAGAGCAATTTTGATTTTTGAACAAAAAATTGTTGAAGTACAATGTTTTTTTGATCTTTTTGAAGATATTATTTTCAATTTGTTTTAAATCACTGTCTTATCAAACTTTAGAGTTTTTTGACATATATAACAGAATGATGATTGGTTTGTAATAAAATGTTGGTACAATGGTTGAAAAGGTACGTATAAAACCCAACAAACTAATCTAACGTAAATTAATGATTCAGTACCTACTGTAGTCGGTGCAAATTTAATAGTGTGAAAATGTTGGGTTTTAATAATTTTAACCGTAAATGCAAAAGAAAAAAATCAAATTTTTGGTTACAAAATTAAATCAGATAATTTTCTAATCTAAAACTCTATAGTCGGATCCAACGATGGATTTAATTAAAATTACACACAATAAGGTGTTTAGGATTGTATATTTTCAAAACTGGTATAGATCTTGACGGAGCACCAAGAAACCAATAGAGGTGTCCTCTATCAATGATCTACACAGGCACACGCTCAGATCTCCCATCGGGTGCTAGCCCAAAAACCCTAGATCTATATGTGTATTACATAAAAGAATTTTTTTTTCTGTATAATTTCTAAAAGATACAATCAATTCCGAGTTGATTTAGTATAATACTTTATTTATATTGTCTGGATTACAGATAAGCTATAATTCAAAATAAGGTTTTGTAATTATCTATAGCGCGCGCACGCGCACACACACACACACACACACACACACACACACATATATATATATATATATATATAGGGAAGGGTTCAAACGAGAACCCCTGTGATTTACGAGAACGCAAGAACAACCCAATAACCTCATATTGTGATAAAAAATAAAATTAAAAGATTTTTTAAATTAAAATTWAAATTTAAAAAGATTTAAAAAAAATTAAAATTAAAAGGGTAATAATGGAATATCAAATCTTTTAAACACGATCATTATTATCATTAGTCTTATCAAATCTTTTAAACGGTTACGAAATAGGTTAGGATTGTACTAGGTGTGATAATCATGTGATATGAGTGTGATAATCATGTGATAGGGGTGTGATAATCACCATTATACATCATTTGGGTTATCGTTTTGGTTGATAAGTTAAAATTTTGGTGTAATCATATGATAGGGGTGTGATACTTATGTGATAGGGGTGTGATAATCACCGTTATACATCACTTGAGTTAACGTTTTGGTTGATAAGTTAAAATTTTGGTGTCATCATGTGATTTGTGTGTGATAATCATGTGATAAGGGTGTGATAATCACTATTATACATCACTTGGGTTATCGTTTTGATTGATAAGTTAAAATTTTGGGGTAATCATAAAATATGAGTGTGATAATCATATGATATGAGTGTGATACTTATGTGATAGAGGTGTGATATGAAGAAAAGATGTTAAGCCATGGAGATTATCATGAACGAAGGAGAAGAAGATAACTACCAAGAGAAAAACGTGGAACGTGAAAAGATAATTATGGTTAATTAAAATAAAATAAAAATTATAAAAATTACTTAATTACATTATTGTCCTTATTAAATTATTTATATATAATAAAAGTTAATTTATTAATTAAAAAAGTTTGAGGTTATTTGGTTGTTCTTACGTTCTCGTAAATCACATGGGTTCTCGTTTGAACCTCCACCTATATATATAATCACTTTAAACTTTAATATAATTATACATATTTACAAATAACACATTGTAATTATTATAATTACGTTTCTAACATATATTTTCATAATTATCCTCCAAGAATAATTATATCGGCAATCCACTTGATTTAATACAAGTTTCTACAAATGGAAGGAAAAATATTCTTTGTATGCGGCCCTATAGGTTTACATACTCCCCAACAATATCCCTATGTAACGCATGTCGTGAGTATATAATAACTTGTAGGAAGAAAAAAAAAAAAAAAAAACAGAACGCTCAATCTCAAAGGACAAACTTGGACCTCCAAGTATAAATTGGAGATGTACTAGAGTACAACTCCAATAAATTATGAAATAAACAAAGAAATATATCAGGGATTGAAGCCAATAATGAACAATAATAATACACAAGAACTACAAAAATAGCCCTCGAATTCCTTTGATTCGATTTGTAGTGTTGATTTATGAACATTTTTCAACGTCCACTCCTAAACAGAAAAAACTATCTATATATAGCTGCATCTAGTGTAACACTCCCAATTTCTAAGCGTCCTAATAGATATTTTAATACAAAGCATCATATTTATTTTATAAGACTTAGTTTATAGGACCAAAAAAATAAAGCATCATATCTAAAGGTGTTGCAATAAGTTTATATGACGCTTTTGATCGTCTTAACAAGTTTTTAGGACATCTTTAATACAAAGTGTCGCATTAGCAACTTTATAGAACACTTCAAAAGTGTCCTATAAACTCAATTTTGTATAGGACATTTGTTTATATAGAACAATTTTTCAAATAATGTCCTATAAAGTTGCTAATGGGACGTTTTATATTAAAAGTGTCCTAAAAAACTTATTACGGCGTCAAAAAACGTCATATAAACTTATTACGACGTTTGTAGATAGGACACTTTATTTTTTTGGTTCTATAAACTAAATCTTATAAAGAGGTCTATTAGGACGCTTAGAAATTGAAAGTGTCCTATAAACCCGATTTTGTTGTAGTGACTATGTGTTGTAAGCTAAAAAGTGTTTCTTATTGCATGCGCTAAAAATTCTACTGTACAAGATTCCAACATCCAAACTCACCCTTAACACATTACAAGACCAACAGTTCTCATCGTTTGCATAGCTTACACCCATCCTAACTTCAATCAACGTTCTTGAAGGCGGATTAGGGTATGTCTTAAAAAATATGACTAGAGTAATCAATTATTTTTCTGAACGATCAAAAAGTACAAACACGCGTAAACAAACTGCATAAGAAATTACCAAAAATAACCAATTAATTATAGAAGTCATAAAAATTCTTCATATCGAAGAGCCAGGAGCAAGGATTCCTGAAAGTGAATTCCCCACCCATCTGGAGGTGCACACCCATTTTTGAACATAAACAAAGGGCTAAAGAGAGAAGTCCATGGAACTACCAAATCCAATGACTTTGATTTGTTTGTACCATTATGTCATTGATCACTGCTGGGTCGGTTGGTAAGTCACCCAAAAAAGCATCGAGAATGGTCAATCAACTGATACAGGTAGGTGATTTGGTATATAACCAAAGGAAGAGCAGAGGGAAAAAACTCCTTTGCCAAAGTCTCTTTGAATCAGGATTGTTAATTTGATAAGCCAATGATTTTTTTCCCGTGTTATCCAAGACTTGTATCATTTGATGATGCCATGTGAATGGCTTGAAACATGGCTCGAATCCGTAGTCAATCATATTTCCGATAGGGACAGTGACAACTGAATCCGATTTCCGTATGATATCCTCAGATTGTTTGGTCTGCCTAAGACAAGTGCTCCATAAAATGGGGACTGGTAGGACCACTTGTAACATGAACACGATATAACGAATTTTAAATATTTTTTTTCTTATGAAAAAGAATTTTAAACGTTAAATTTAGTATATTTTGTTCCAAAAATACAATAACAACTTAATTATGTTATCGTAGAAAAATTAACAATCAATCAAATACTTACAAACGTAGCTCGAGTTCAAAAGAGGAAGTAAAAATTGACTTATAGGTAGGGTTATAACGATCAAGTGAAGTAACAGGTTATTCGAGCTCGACTCGAAAAATTAATATCTGACTCGAGCTCGAATAACTTTTTCGGAGTCAGGCTCGAGTTCTAACTCAAATAGTTTTTGAATGTATTAACTCCTTTATTTACTCAAAAAAATGTATGCTTAAATAGTTCGGCACAACTCGACTTGTACTGTTCAATTGAGCTTTCGTACGAGTCAAGTCGAACATTGATGTTTTAAAGCTTAACTTGTTACGTTAAACAAGCTTTATTTTATATTCGAGCTCGAAAATTATTAAGCTCGAACTTAAACTCAAGTTCAAACAGCTCGTTAGAAGTTTAAATTATTTACTCCCTCCTCCTTATAGAAATAATTAGACTTTTTAAATATTTTTAATTATGGTTTTAGGCAAAACCATGACATTATATAATAATAAAAAAATAAAAAAAAATAATTGCGCGTAGTGGCCACTCCAGTGGGCCTGCAATTGACGTTATTATCCTTGGTGGGAAGGGTTCTTATATTCGAATATTTGAAAAAAGGAAAAAAAAGAGAGGAGACGCCTTCGTTACCACCAATACGCAGAATCCCTAATACGTCTAAAAGCTCTGCCCCCATCCCTTTGCTTACCGTCTCCTTCCTCTGCTCAACTCAATCACACTGCAGCTTTGCCATCTCTCTCTCTCTCTCTCTCTCTGTTATCCTCAATTCCATCTCACCGCCGCTGTTCAAAACCCTAATACTATTTGATAGCGTCGGAAAAGGTAAGCTCTCGCTCAAATACATGATATAAGGATGTTGTGTTTTGTAATTTTGTTGTTTGATTGGTTTTAGAACCTGCGATTATGTTTTTGATTGAGATTCTGTTTATTTTAATTTGTTCGTTGTTACTTTATTTGTAAACGTGGATGATGTGTTATTCAGGTTTGTTTGGCTTCAGGTTAGTATGCGAGTCGTTTACCTTCGTCAACATCAAGGCTAGGTTTTTTCATGATCAACACGGATTTTTGTTAATTGAGACTTAAATTGAAGATATCTGTTCCAAAGAAAACAGGTACACCGATCTCGAGAACAGTATTAAGTTTGAGGTGAAGTTTGAAGAATTTTGAGAAAATATTTGTTATGTACCTCAAACTTAATAACAATCATTTCATATAGGATATCTTTGGTTCTAGTAATATATTCTATATCCAATTTGCATCGGAACTGAAAGATTATATGGTTGACTTTAAATTCTGAACTTAACCTTTTTAAGGAACTAAGGAAGTATTTATTTGAGGAACGATATTAAGTGATTTCTGGTTAATGTTTTTGGTCTACTTTATTAAACGGTTATGTTGCATAGTAAATGGATGTGATCACTGCATGTATATGTGGGTAATATGTATGGAACTGTATTGACGATTGGCTTGAAGTTGTTTGTTGGCTAAACTTTAATGCTGTTCATGTTTGGGGATTTGGTTGCAGAAATGGATGTCAACGGGAAGGACGATTTGAAGATACCACTTCTGCAACCCTCTGATGCTGTTGTACTCGATATTAAATCAGTTCGTAGCGTGGATCAAGGGGTTAGGACCATTATGTTTAAAATAGGCGGTATCGAATGTGCATCATGTTCAACGTCCATCGAGTCTGTACTTCAGGATTTGAGAGGTGTTGAGAGTGCCGAGGTGTCACCACTTCAAGGCCAGGCTGTAGTTAAATACGTGCCAGAACTTGTTGGTGTAAGTTACAGTGATTGCCTCGAGTAATCCTAGTCATCTTTATGTTAATATATTGATTAAGAATTGATGATAAATTCAAATCTCCATTGATTACACATTTTTAGAAATGCCAATTCGCGGTAGTCCACAACGTACCACCAAAGTTACTAGTGCTTGGCATGTGTGGCCGCAGCAGTTGTCAGTGGCTGATATGCAAGATCATGTCTTTGTTTTTTTGCTTACTTTAGTCCTTCATATATTTTCTAAACGCTATATTATGTATTCAGGTAAAAGCAATAAAAGAAACTGTTGAAGATGCAGGCTTTGAAGTAACTGAATTTACAGAGCAAGACATTGCAGTATGCCGACTCAGAATTAAGGGAATGGCATGTACGAGTTGCTCTGAGTCAGTTGAGCGTGCTCTTTTGATGGTTGAAGGAGTGAAAAAGGCAGTGGTTGGTTTAGCTCTTGAAGAAGCAAAGATAAACTATGATCCTAATGTTATCAACACTGATCGCATCATTGAAGCAGTGGAAGATGCTGGCTTTGGAGCGGATCTTATAGGCTCCGGGAATGATGGGAACAAAGTGCATATAAAAATTGAAGGTATCACTTCTCCGGAAGATATGACTGCAGTCAAGTGCTCTCTGGAATCACTAGCTGGTGTCAATCATGTTGAGATTGACATGGAAGAATGTAAGGTGGCTGTTAGCTATGATCCAGATTTGACAGGTCCCAGGTCACTTATATTCTTCATCCAAGAAGCTGGTGCTGGCTCTACTCATTATCAGGCAAGCTTATACATTCCAGAAAGACGACATAAAATAGAGAAAGATCATGAGATCAAAACGTACAGAAGTCAGTTTCTTTGGAGCTGCCTATTTTCACTTCCACTTTTGTTGTTCTCTATGGTACTTCCAATGATTCCTCCATATGGGAATTGGTTAAGCTATAAACTTTATAACATGCTTACTGTTGGAATGCTTTTGAGATGGATCCTCTGCACACCGGTGCAGTTCATTATTGGTAAAAGGTAAGGTCAATGTCCTGTGGTGTTAAGACATCATATCTTTGTCCGCTTGTGGTAATATGCATAAATTATTATAGTATCTCATATGTACTTTGTTTATTTAAATTCAGGTTTTATGTTGGATCATATCATGCACTGAGGCGAAAATCTGCTAATATGGATGTCCTGGTTGCACTTGGCACTAATGCTGCTTACTTTTATTCTGTATACACAGTAATAAAAGCATCGGTTTCAGATGGATTTGAGGGACAAGATTTTTTTGAGACTAGTACAATGTTGATTTCATTTATTCTTCTAGGTAAATATTTGGAGTCTATAGCTAAAGGAAAGACATCCGATGCTTTAGCAAAGTTGACAGATCTTGCTCCCGACACAGCTTGCCTGTTGACAATGGGTGATGATAAAAATGTTATTTCAGAGACCGAAATTAGCACTCAATTAATACAAAGAAACGACATTCTAAAGATATTTCCTGGCTCAAAATTTCCTGTTGATGGTATTGTCATTGATGGGAATGGATATGTGAATGAAAGTATGATCACAGGAGAAGCAATTCCAATTGCTAAAAGTCCTGGTGACAAGGTATGTCTGTTTTGCTTCCCCCCCCCCCCCTCTCTTTAAATTTTCCATGCCACATCTAAATTGATTATTTTGTTCTTCTGAATCACAAACAGGTTATTGGTGGGACTGTGAATGAGAATGGATGCTTGTTGATCAAGGCCACTCATATTGGGTCAGAGACTGCACTTTCACAAATAGTTCAAATAGTTGAGGCTGCTCAACTTGCAAGAGCTCCTGTACAGAAACTTGCTGATCGGATATCAAGGTTTTTTGTACCTGCGGTGAGTTGTTTGCCTTTGCATTCCATTCATGCTACCAGCCATGGTCATAAAGTGGATTTTGGTTGTTTTGTTTAGTGTATATCGAGTTCAGTACCAAGTTTTGTCATTCTACCTTTGCCCTGTCTATCCTTTTAATATAAGTCATGCAAGGCTTGGGCAATCTCTAAACTCCATTCTTATGTGATTGTTTGACCGGTAAGTCACCACCTGCGACACTTAATTATGATATTCATGAGCTGCTTGAACTTTTTCTTTATATACTTCATGTATGACCTTGGCTTAGAAAATATTAGTAGTCTATAACCACTTGAAGCATCGAAAAGTTAACATATGAAATGGAAGGCTACTGTTTAGGAAATTCCCATGGGACCGGTAACTTTTCAAGGCATGAATTATGTGCAAAATGGTAATGGCATTTCTTTTATTTTACAAGATTTTGCAACTACATGAGAGTTGTGCTAGTATTACAAGGGTACTGGATTTTGTGTATGTGTTTTTGGTGGGGGTGGGCATCTTAAGTCTAGATAGAAGGTTAAAACTTGATTTTATATAACATGTTCGCATTGTAGATGAAGATTCAAAAGTTGTATGATCTTAGGATCAATACTCTAATTTGTTACGATTATATGCCATAATGAATGATGTTGCATGGTGAGAATGCAGTCTATGCTTATTCAATTGCTCTCAGGTTGATGCACCTAAAATTATCTCATCATGCCATATCTATATCTCCTTTATATTTCATAAATGTTCTTGACAAGTACCACGTCCTGAATTTCAGGTTGTTGCCGCTGCTGTGGTGACATGGTTGGCATGGTTTATTCCTGGTGCAGCTGGACTTTATCCTAAAAGTTGGATTCCAGAGGCGATGGATGAGTTTGAGCTCGCACTACAGTTTGGAATTTCGGTTTTAGTTGTAGCATGCCCTTGTGCTCTTGGTCTAGCCACACCTACTGCAGTTATGGTTTCCACTGGTAAGGGCGCTACAGAAGGTGTCCTGATCAAGGGTGGAAATGCACTAGAAAAAGCGCACAAGGTACTTGAAATCTGAAATCACAGTTGAAGCTGTAGTTCACTCTTGCTGACTCTAGATGGTACTCTACTAGGAAATACTAAGTGGTGTTAGAAACAATTATAAGTATGGATAAAGATGGGCAGTATCTGGATTAGCAATATCAGATTATATAACACAATTCCTCTCTTATTGTATATATAATTTTGTTGAATAGAGGCAGGATAAAATATTGGGGAATTGAAGCTAACAAGGCCATTAAATACTTGCTAGTGGCTCTGTGGTTTTAATGAGACAATCAAGCCAAAGATGTAAAGGATCATATAGACATCTTAAGCAAATATTTTTACCATCTTCTCAGCTACGTCAAGAGAAGCTAGCAAGATTGAGATGCGTTTTCTTTTTCTTTTTGTTTTTCAAGATTGACCAGCGACATTGACACCCCTATGCGTTGAACCTCTTTGGAAAAGCTAGCCGAGTTTGAGCTTGCTTTTTCTCGTAGCAACTGTTGGACAGCTTTGTACCAACTGATTTATCATATTTTCACTATTTAGATGAAACATAGAAGTATATAGTGCGCTAATCGATGCTGTTTATACAAATAAATTTTTAATGGTTGATGCGTTTCTTCTCTTTTAACTGACAATGGAACATATTTTTATCCTACTTTTTGATGGTTTAATATTGTGGTTACACTTTAGGACTTTATGATGATTTACTGGACAATATTTGGATCCTGTAGGTTAACACAATTGTCTTCGATAAAACGGGAACATTGACTGTTGGAAAACCTGAAGTTGTCAGTGTCGTGCTTCTTTCTGAAATTCCAATGGAGGAGTTCTGTTACATGGTAATCGCTGTAGAGGTGGGTTTATATTCCTGAAATGCTACTTTGCTAATTCTATGCTTGTGACAATTTGTTGGCTTGTGTGATGCTGGATTAGACTTTTAGGGTGCGTTTGGTATGCCGGATAGAACGAGACAAGACAATACAAAAATTTGTTCCTCCACGTTTGACACTACATTAGACTGGGACTAGATGGGCCTGAATTTTTTTTGTCCCACCAGAATAGGTCTAACAAAAATCTGGGAGATGACAAATTACGAAACTACCCATGTTAAATTAAAACGCTAAAACCTTACACAATTCTTTCACCCGCTTACCTCACTCTCACCCGTCTGTCTACGTACCAAATGCACCCTTAAGGTTGTCTCGGGAGTACCCAGGACTTGATAGATCCATAGATTTAAAAGCTAATTAAGGAAACCATTTGGTATTATCAGTACAATCATATCAATTTTATTTCATCATGTATCCAAATTTACAATGTTGTATATGTTTTAGGCAAATAGTGAACACCCCATAGCAAAAGCCGTTGTGGAGCATTCCAAGAACAGACTGCCTGATCATAAATCTCAAATTGGGAACGGTTCAGCGGTGAAGGACTTTGAGGTGCATCCTGGAGCTGGGGTGGGGTGTAAAGTTGGAGACCGAACGGTCTTGGTTGGGAACAAGAAACTTATGAGACTATCTAATGTTCCAGTTGACACTGAAGTCGAAAACTATTTTTCAGATAATGAAAAACTGGCTCGCACCTGTGTACTGGTGGCCATTGATGGGAAGGTTGCTGGTGCTTTTGCAGTCACCGATCCGGTGAAACCAGAGGCTGCACAGGTCATATCATTTCTCCGCTCTATGAGCATCAACAGTATTATGGTAACAGGTGATAACTGGTCAACCGCAACCGCCATAGCAAAGGAGGTTGGAATTGAAAATGTGTTCGCGGAGATTGATCCTTTGGGAAAAGCAGACAGGATTAAAGACTTGCAGGTAAACTTGTTTTACACTTGGAATACTCGTATTTTATAGGATAATTTCAAAGACATTAAATTATAGTCACCATGGTTTTCTAATTGGGTAAAATGCCTTTAAAATGAAACGAAGTTTGCCTTGATTCTTATTTAGTGTAACAAAAATATTTTTCCTCAATCAATGTTACAAAGTTTTAATTTTTTTTTATCAATGTAACAAGTTAAAATTCTGATTTTGTACCAATTCTAACCGGTAACCGACTGATCTTGTAAGATTTGATGACATTAATGTCAAGTTTATCGTCCATAGCGGCGTAAACTGTTCGTAAATGGGTATCCACGTCATCAAATATTACAAAATAGGAAAGTTGGAACTTTGCAACATTGAGAAAAAAAAGTTTTTTTTTACACCATATAGCAACTAAATCAAACTTTATTGCATTTTGATGCATTTTGCCTTTTTGATTTAACAAAAAGTATGGCTTGGGTTTTGAAGCCGACATTGATCGACCATATGCAAATCTTTTGAAGCCTGAACCATTTTATCTGATAATATGAAATGAAACCGGCAGGCGAGAGGAAAGATAGTTGCAATGGTGGGAGATGGAATAAACGACTCACCAGCGTTGGTTGCAGCCAACGTGGGGATGGCGATTGGTGCAGGAACTGATGTCGCAATCGAAGCTGCCGACATAGTGCTTATCAAAAGCAACTTAGAAGATGTGATCACAGCAATTGATCTCTCTAGAAAGACAATTTCTCGTGTCCACCTTAACTATGTGTGGGCCCTCGGTTACAACATACTCGGCATGCCGATTGCAGCCGGAGCTCTATTCCCGTTTACCGGAATCCGGTTACCTCCTTGGTTGGCTGGAGCTCTCATGGCTGCTTCTTCTATCAGTGTGGTCTGTTCTTCACTCCTCTTGCAGACATACAAGAAGCCCTTTACATACTCAAAATAAGAAAAGGTCTGAGTAAGTATTTGATTTTAGATTGGTGGTTCACAACACTTGATTAGTACTTGCATTGTCATTTAAATATGTAACTTCTTACTCAACTTAAGGCTGCGTCCGAGGGTGTTCCAATGTCAGATACGGACAGGCCCACAAAAAATTTGGGTTCAATTATACATGTTTTAGCATTTCCCCAATTATATATGTTTTAACCTTTAGCCCAGTTACAATGTTGTAGGTTTTTTTACTCTTATAACTAATTTAGCGATTCTCGGTTGGGCTCAACACAAGGCGCTTGTGAATTACGTTCACCGGACATTAAGAATTTACAAAAGGTACAGTTAACTATATATGTTTGTTTTACATTTTTTTTTCTTATAGTTTTTGGTTGAATATGAAAACCATGGCAGGCTAAATGCATCTCTCTGTATTGCTAAATGCATCCCTATCCAGTAATCTTCCTCTCAAATATATCAATTCAAGATTTATTTTTTACATTTTCAATATATGATTTGATCTGATTTTGATATAAATATAGATGTATATAGCTAACACCGTATGTCAAGAATGTGCAATGGAACAGGGATAGGAACAAATGTTCTTGTGGTCATTTATATGTACTACTATTTATAGTCCCTCTATGTTACATCTATTTTCAAGTAGTGAAGCATGTAACATTTTTTTTTCTATATGAGATTTGATGTAAACGATGAAATTTCAATATAAGTGTTATTTTGTCAGCTTAATCATCATCAGATCAAACCAAATATTATAACTGGTAATCCAAGGAGTAATAAAAATCTTTTTGTGGTCACGGAGGTTCAAATACGGTAACTCTGGGCTATCTGCAAAGCAGGTGGTCGCCCTGAGATTAGACGGCTTGCATAGCGTGTTGGATGTCCAGATTAATCAAAAAAAAATCTTCTATGTCATTAATGTAATTTTGAAATAACGTTGATGGTATTGAACTTTTCTCTTTTCATTCTAATATTTTACCTAAAAAACTTGCTAGAAATTATGATTCAGATAAATGATTATTAGAAATTGTTATTTATCAAGTATTTTATGTTAATCATTGATTTAATAAAAACAACGATTATGGTATAAATGAACTCAATGGTTTCTGAAGTTTTTTATAATTGAGTGGAATATATGAAACTTTTTCAGGTCTTGTTTATCTCATAATTTTTATATATCCCTTTAATATTTATAATTTTAATTTTATCCTAAAAAATTTATGCAATATTTTTTTAAAATCCTTTAAAACTCAAATTCATAGATTATTATTGTAATTGAAATTCCTAATATTTTAAGTTTGAATTATATAAAATCTACCGATAAATATATGAAAATATTTAATAATCATTAAGTCATATTAATATAATGATATATTTCAAAAATACCATACTTATAACCTTTAAAATAAAATTGAAGTGATTTCTTTTTCAATTTAAAATAAATTTTGGAAAGTGCGAATGGTGCTAAATGCTTCAGAAATTGAATATTCAATAAAAAAAATATAAAATGTCAAAATCAATTAATCATATAATATCTTATTATTATTGTTATTGTTTTATATGTTAATATACATATATAGTTATAGAGAGAGAGAGAGAGAGAGAAAGAGAGAGAGAGTTTATTTTAAATACAATCCATCGCATTTTTACANTGTTTAATTAAAGATCTGCTGTGTGATCTAATCATCGAATCTGTGCATAAAAGGTGAGTTTTTGATACAAAAATCTTTATATGTTGTTATTTTAATATTTTTAAAATAATATAATTAAAAAATTATGAATAAAAAAAAAAATTAACATCATGCAACTCACAAGAGTCATAGTTATTTATAAAAAAAATCATCCTTACATATATTTTTTAATAAATAGATCATCAAACTTTTAAAAATTGGTTATTTGCATAATTTTAACCTAAAATATATTACATATTACTACTTGCTTGCCTCACATATCAGATATGTTGGAAAACGATTTTCAAGTCACGTTTTTCCTGTTTTTAGTCATTCTAGATGTTTGCTGAATAAATCTTTTTTGTAATACATCATTATCTAATAATAATATGATTATATTGAATAGTATATAGTTTGGTAATATAAAAAAAGTTACTTTTTAAATAAAATAATTATTAAAGAATTACGCTTTTAACTATCATTATTAAAAAAAAAAGGAATTTTTTTAATATTAAAAAAGAAAAGGATAACATATAATATCTTTTTAGAAATTATTATAAAAGTAATATTTTCTAATATTAATTTATTTAGAGAATAAAAATAATGTTTCTAATATTAATAACTAAAAGTAAATTAATATAAAAAAGAAAAAGACAGTAAAAAAAAACAAAAATACAAAACAAAAAATAAGCTTAATGTGTTGTTAGCTTAATTGATTATTAAGTTGTTTGTTATAATCCAATATTTACATAACAAAAACACCCTCTTTGTCGAACAACACTCCATATAATATAAAAAAGTTATAAAAATAACATATAAAGCCAAATAAGTGTAAAATAAAATATGTTTTTGGTTTAGTATAAGAATACTCACCCATGATGAAAACGATCAAATATCAGTCAACAACAGTGAAAAAGGTAGCTGAATATTTAAAACTGATGATGTAAAAACGAGATTATATCAATGTCTGACATAGAATATGAATATGGAAAAATGGTAACAAAGTGAATACAAAAATAATGGTTTGTGTTGGTGATTGAGAAAAATCAAGTAGTACATATACAGTTTGAGGAAGTAAAAACAAAACACGATAAATATGTTTCTAAAAAGAGTATTTTGAAAACGAAAAAAAAAAAGATGGAGGTTGTGGGTCCCTTACGCACCCCACATAGGCAAGTGCGTGAGGATCACATCGTCGAACACTATGTTGGTTAACTCATATCAGGCCTTATCACGTCAGTCGGTTTCCATATTGTTTTTTTTGCAATTTGGTTTCTCTATCTTTATGCACTACATGATGCCAAATGCTAAATGGAAAACGATTTATTTGAGGATTAGTTTTGTAATTTACATTTATTAAATGGTTAAATCCGTCATAATTTTCTTAATATTATATTAGCTAAAATTAGTTCACCCCCAGTTTTTGTCTCCAAATGGTTTGATACCAAATGGCAATGGCATCAATTTATCGGCTGATTCAAATCGCCAGAATGCAAACAGCCCTCTTCCCTTGCAGAAAACCTTAATCTGGAACCACAAATCAGGTAACCCATCAACATTCATCTCATCTTTGTGTTCTTGATTCTTAATTTTCCAGATACTAATCTCGTTTCTTACATCTTCATCTTAATTTGGGATTTTTCTAATCCAACTTTTAGGGTTTTCTTGTATGTTTCTGTTGCTAGATTCAGTTTTCCAAGTGGTTGTATGTTTAATTATCGATTCTTGATTTCAATAGATTTGATGAACGGACGTTGAATCCGGTGTTGGAGGTGCGATTTGGTCTCTAGGTTTTGTTTTCGTACTCCAATTCATCAATCTATCAAGCAAACTCAGTTGGGTCAATCGTCGTCGTCGTCGTCGTCGTCATGAATCTGATGAATCGGATCGACGATGAACCATCTTTAGGGTTTATGGAAACCAAGATTTTGAACCCTAGTACGTCTTATTTGAGTTTTGGGAAAGGAAAAGCTGATGACAACTTGAATGATCACAACATTAGTGATGAAGATGAGCCAAGTTTCATGGAAGATGATAACTCTAACAAGGGTCGAAAGGGTTCGTCGCCGTGGCAGCGAATGAAATGGTCGGATAGCCGAGTTCGGCTTCTGATTCAGGTTGTGGCTTGTGTCGGAGATGATGGCACGCTCGATGGTGGTTCGAGTCGGAAATCAGTGTGTTTACAGAAAAAGGGGAAATGGAAAACGGTTTCGAAGATCATGGTGACGAAAGGATGTCAAGTTTCACCTCAGCAGTGCGAAGATAAGTTCAACGATCTTAACAAAAGGTATAAACGATTGAACGACATTCTGGGACGAGGAACTTCGTGTAGAGTGGTTGAAAACCCGTCTCTAATGGAGTCTATGCCACGGTTATCGGCTAAAACAAAGGAAGATGTCAAGAAAATCTTGAATTCGAAGCACCTTTTTTATCCGGAAATGTGTGCTTACCATAACGGTCAACGGATTCCGAATTGCACTGAACTCGATCTTATGCAGGTTCGTGAAACGCCCGTTATCGGTCAATGTTCAAAGGAGAACAATCGTAGTTCTGATGAAGGAGAAGATAGTGATGGAAGTGACGATGATGACGATGATGATTCGGACCATGAAGACGATGAGCATAAAAATGGCGGTGAAGATGGTCATCTTGAAAGGGGTAATAGCCGTTTTCGTGACGAGATTAATGAAGTTTTCGAAGATCCTAATAATTCGAAGCTGCAAAAGAAAGAATGGGTTAAGAAGCGAATGTTGCAATTACAAGAACAGCGGATCGGGATCGAAGCCGAAGCTTTTGAAATGGAGAAAAGACGGTTTAAATGGCAAAGATTTTGCGATAGGAAAGACCGAGAGCTGGAGATCTCGAGACTGGAGAACGAGAGGTCGATGTTGGAGAATGAACGTATGGCGTTGCAATTAAAGCATAGGGAGCATGTCGTCGAGTCTGAGTAGCTCATTCTGTTCGATCTTCGATTATTACTCGAGGTATCCTGTAAATGACCTCGAATATCTTGTAGTGTATGAAATGCCTAAACGTTTATGTTATGTTGTTTGTGGATTTTCGAGTTCCGGAAGCATTTGTGATGTGATTACATGGTACTGATTATGTCCATACTCGATAAGGCCTGTTTATTAGCAGTTTAGTGGGACTCACAACCTATCTGGTCGGTATACATTGTTGTTTGGTAGTGACTTAATGATATAAAAAATGACTTATTCAATAAGTTTTTAAAAGGAGATTTATGCAGAAATCAAAGTTTTTTTCAGATATAAATACTTTTTGTTATAAGATGCTTATAAAGTTTAGGAGGTTTGGGTGTAAATTGTTGGAATATTCTTGGTGGAATATTCTTGGTGTGAGTCAAGGTCAACCTTTCTAGATTAAACACAATGTCTATAGCACTATGGATTTGACTTTGACAAGGTCAAATGGTTTGTGTTTGAATTAATGGGGGTGATACACCTCAGATTCTATTTTCTAGAAACATGATAGATAAAATTGTTTGGTTATATTTGGATATACAACCCGTTATACGAGCCGACTAATTTTAAGGTGATCATTTATTTTTTGGGTGGTTCGAAGTCATCGTATTTAAATCTCCGTGACCATAAAAGGATTTTTGTTTCATTTTAAATTAAAACCTGAGATCCATAGACACTTTTGACTTTTGGTTATATTAGAGGTGTTATTATTTGAGGGGTTTGCACTCAAAAATGCTTATTATATGACATCACATATAATATATATTGGAAGGTTGTTGGTACTCGATAGAGAAAGTACAATCCGAAGTCAGTCAAGTGAGCTTCTAATTTTTTTTATAAAAAAATAAAATATAAATTATATAATTTTTAAATTAATTATAAAAATATAAATGGATCAAAACGGGTTTTTCTGAGATTTTTTTATCGCCAACCCTGCCCATTAATTTTAATGGTTGTTTATTATTTCAATAATAGTTGTCAAAGCCTGCTTATTTAAGAGGGTGGATCTAATAATCCTTCTTGCCATAAATAGTTCTAAGTTTACTAGAAGTGTAGTGGGTATCGTATAATATAACGAGATACATTTCGATTTTATTGTTTCGTTTTTTTTTTTTCCAGTCGATGTTATAATATGGTTTTACGTGGTTTTGAGAAAACGATAATGTTTTTAGTTTTGAATAAAATATAAATATGAAGATTCATAAAAAAAATTGAAAAAAAAAATATTGATATTATTACCAAACTAACTATTTTAAAATTTTCTTTTTTTGTGTATTTCTTTAACTCATTTTTTTATTTTTGGTTTAATGATATAATTTTTTATAAAGATGATAATTAATTATTTTGTTGGAACTCAATGATTATCATAATTATATTTTAGATTTTTTATTTTTTAAAATGAGATATTTATCCTCTATTCGATTATGTTTATCTGCAGTTAGTTACACGAATTCAAACATTAAACTTTAATAATATGTACATACGCACAATTTACTTGTAATCTTAAATTTTAAGTAATATGCATCAAAAAACAATATTTCATGCATAAAAAATGGGTTTTAAGAGTTTTTGTTAAATGTTTTATAATATAGTATAGATATAAATGCCAATTTATTGGATTATAGAATGATAGCTTGACTTCGATTTTAGGTTTATCTATTCTTATGTTACATTGTTTTGAGTTATAGGAGTATTTATAACAATTTCTCTATAATTTCTCTAAAATGAAGAATTGTAAGTTAAATCTCTAAAAAAATTACACTTAACTTTAATAATTTCAATTTTAATTTTATTATTAAAATATTCTATAAATTCAACATTTAAATATATTTTTTGATTTTTGTATACAAAATAATAACATCGTTTCTTTAAATCTAGAGGATTATATAAGTTATTTTTTTTTTTTTAAACTAGAAGGGTACTCGCACAATGCAACGAGATACATCTTGATTTTAATATTTTATTTTATTATTTATCTCAGTCGATGTTATA